AACGCGGAAGTTTGAAGGTAGGAAGTGCAAGTACGACCGTTTTCTGACCGAGTTTGGACGAAACACTCCCCCTATCGTACCTCCGCTCTTTTGCCTGCTCCAGCAGAACACATCAAGCAGACAGACCGTCAAAAAGTTTGATACTTTGTTGTTATGATTCTGTGAGAAGAATGCAGATTTTATTCAAAACAAATGTTCTAGTGTCAATAAAAAAAATTGGACATTCTTTAAAACTGTCAAAGTTATATTTAGCTTAATTAATAACACGGAAACTATGCCCAGTGAGTTAAAGAAATTCATGGTGAAGTGCATTTGTGACGGGTAACCTAGAGTAAAAACAAAATTCAACTATGAAGTTGATGAACAGATGAATTAAATCTTCGTTTCGTAAAATAAACTGTAAGTGAAATTTTTCCTTCTAGTGGAGTGTGTATTCTTTCTCTTGAACTAATACATTTTAAAGTAGACCGTTGACATGTTTTATTGTTTTAAAAATATCCCTTATGTTTCAGGGTTTATTTGTGACTAATGCAGAGCTGTATACGCCCCAAGCTCTTTGGGCAGTCTAACATAGTTGTTGCCCTTCGTAAAATCTTTCATACTCTGAATGAGAAAAAGAAAATGGAAGCGGAGGGAGGGTCAGGGGCTGCCGCAGTTAATTCAGAAGAAGATTTCAATGAATCGATTGAGAGCCATGACGATGCAGGCAATGAAAAGTTCCCTTACCTTTGCAGACATGCCTATGTGCATACTGACGACAATGAATTTATCAGGTAAACTTAGAGATCCATTTTCTGAGATTGAACTTCAACTTGTATCCCATCATAGGTTTTCATTCCAATGTTGCATTCCCTTCCTTGACAGCTATGCTCCAGGATCAAAGACAGGAAAAATTGGGTTGTGGATAGGACCAAAATTAACTCTGGAGGAAAGCTACTTTGAAATGGAGATAACAGATTACGGTGTTGAGGGGAAAATTCACATTGGTGTATCTCCATGGAATCACCCTCTTGGAAGCCATATAGGGTATACTGTAGGATCTATTGGATTATGTGTTGGGAATGGCCAGTAAGTAAATCTCAATTTTGATATCAAATTCCATTACATACAAAAGAAGCGAAATTGTAGTTTTGCATCCCTTACTACAGCATCCTAAAAGACTGCGAAATGGCTACTGATACAATAAGAGTTAAAATAGCACGTGAATATGATAGAGTGGGTTGTGGTCTACGATTTGAGCAGTGCTATGATTCAGCAGAGGAGGGAGACGACCAGGAGTCCTATGTACTAGTGTACTTCACACTAAATGGTAAAGAGGTGGGTAAATAAGTTATCTTTATATCCAAAAGCTCCTTTGGTATTTTGTTGGCAACCTAGATTTTTGACTTTTTTACATGTTTTAGATTGGTTCATTATGGACACAACTGCCTATAGGGGGTTTCCACCCAGCAGTTTCCATGCAATCCCCTGGAGAAGAAGTCCGTGTGATGTTGGGCCTGCCTGGTCACCCAATGCAAGATGATGATGAGATGGTTGTTGACAGTACTGAAGATGACTGGCGACGCCTAAGTGATGTTCATCAACGTGGACAAATTCTTGAATATTGTGGCAAGGGTCAAAGCATAGCTGATGTTGGATTAGCGCAAGCTAGACATCCATTAAATACTACACACCATTATTTTGAAATTGAAATTGCAGATCCTGGAGAAAATTGTTATATAGCTATTGGTTTGACAAGAAAGGTATGTATAAATCACTACTATTCCTCTAAAATTTTAAAAAAATAACTGTTTTTAAAGTCTTATGGTATTTTACCATTTCATGCCACAGGATTATCCTGATCGAAGAAACCCAGGGTGGAACAAAGGCTCCATAGGCTATCATGCTGATGATGGGAAAATATTTATGGGAAGTGGAAAGGGGGAACCCTTTGGCCCACGGTGTCATAAAGGTGATCGGATGGGGTGTGGGATCTATTTCTCACCAGATTACATCAGTGAATATGATAGGTATAATTTTCCCTTCATCTATTCAACTATAACTCTATAGAGCTTTATCAACACAATAAAAACTAATCCAATATTTGTATCCATAGTGATTGTGAGCCTGCTGCTGATAGTCCAAGTCAAGCAGGATGCTCAAATGGGAAGGATGTTGAACTAATAGACCTTACTGTAGATACCAGCGGAAGTGAGGATGATGAGTGGTGGAATCATCAAGGAAAAGTGAAATGTGGTACAAAAGTTGAGGTATGTATTATTACGTATTTCATAATTTTCCTTGCGACTGGTCCAACATGCTGGGCTTTATTCACGCACTTTTGGACCTACCTGCACATATTTTTTTGAGAACTATTTCACTTGTTCTCTAAAGTATTTTCACTTTATTTTGTGATTTTCTTCTCATAGGTTTTCTTCACAAGAAATGGAAAAACAGTTGGAATGCGTCAAGTGCGCATACCAAAAGGAGGTTTCTATCCCACTGTTGGCATGCTGGGTCTGAATGAAAAGGTACGAGTAGATTTGAGACCCCTTACAGGTTGAAGAGGAAAAGCTTGTTCTTCAATTTTGGCGCAATGGGACCCAATAGAAAATGTGTCACTATTAAGCAGATAAAAATAATTTCATGTATTTCCAAGTTTTTTGGCTAGTTGAAGAGACCTGTGCATATTACAATTTTAAGTGTCAGACACAGAATTTATTAAATGTAGGGAAGTGTTCATTATGATCTCAAGGAAATTCATTGAATCGTGTACACGTGATAATTAGCTAGTCAGACTTGTTATTTACCTAACGGTATTTATCTGTGATGAAACTGCCCATTAATGAATGAGCTGAATGTAAATATTTTAATTTATAAGGAATAAGCATCTTTCATTGCACACGCTTTTAAAATTTTCCCATGTTGCAAAAGATCCAAATCTGCATCTCTGCAGTTTGTGGAACAATTCTGTTAACTATCAATGTGTACAAAATCAGTACCAGTATGCCTCTAGTCTCTATAGGTATAGTTGTAAGAGCAGTTGTCCGATACCTTGAGTTTTGTAAGTAACTGTAAAATTTACTATTTCATGGAAAATATTGATCTTGGTAGTCCTTTGCCCATGGATCAAATAAGGTATCAGTCATGCACCAGTAACTGTCAATGGACTTTTAATTTCTTTCTTCTAGTTGTTGATGCATAAAAAATTTGATTGTTATTATAATAATAATATTATGTGTCATTTAATGCCAATATTTACAATTTTTCCTCTGAAAATGTTGAAAACTTCTAAGGTAGGTCCAGCGACTCCACAATTACCGGCCTCATTATCAACTTCTAAGTGTGTATGATATTTGAATCAGGGTGGGAGAGAATTACTTCAGGGCATGTGTCTTAATCACATGGTCTTCTTTCCTATTTTTGTACCAGATTTTAAGAATGAATAGGGTGTATTTTAATTATGCCTTGAAATATTATAAGACACTTATCTTGGAAAAATACTGATTGTCAATGGCTTTGTTACTTGGTACCTTAATGTCTATTAAGCACTCACCCATTCACTCACAAAATTTGCTCACAGTACTTTGTTGTTTGTCAGGGAAAACACAAGAGTATTTTATTCTAATTTTGACATTCCTTTCATTCAATTTCCAATGTTAATTATTTTTGTGCACAGCTGTGCCTGTTGTCATTATGCCATCTATTTTGTATTTCTGTTATTTTGTGTTGAAAAGAAGTACAATCAATGTTCATCAAAATTCTATCTTAGAATTTGTTGGATAAATAGTTTTAGTGACACCCACTGTTTAGGATTCCATCCGTTGTAATTTATATTT